TCGAGATGGTTTACCAAAATTTCGTCATGAACTCCTACTAAGTCGGTGCGTGAGCCATTGTTGAACTCCTAAAGCTAGATGGCAGGCAGTGCTTGAGCCATATTGGAAGGTCCCGAGAATGAAGAAGAAATCTAAATGATGGGGGCATATGGAGGGCTTTAAGGCTGAGGAGCATAAGATCGAAGCGCTACAGTGCCAAAGACATAGCCACCGTTGTTACAAGTACGATGCCAGCACCATACTTAAGAGTGACTTCATAGTTTCTTTACCCAGGTCTATCGGAAGATATCGGGTCTCCCTTCTCCAAGGCGGCAGAGCGGGGCACTTGGTCACATCCTAACAGTGCGTCACTGAAAATATATTTGCCAATGAGGCTCAGACCTTAAAGCGCTGTCGTTTTGGTCGAATGGTTAGATATATTCTCTTTCTAACAGCTTTAGATGCAGACTCAGGATGTACTACGGGGGAGGCATAAGTATTGTTAGTCTGGTGCTAGTAGCGGCTAGTTCTTGTTACCGCATCATAGTGTCATGATCTGATTAAGATACATTAATTCAAATGGATTCAAAAATGTACTCTTAATCTGATATAGGCTTAGCTGCTTTGTACAAAAGACGATTTCGAGTAAAGATACTAGCGTTGAGCGAATAATACTTTAGGGCCCCCGTAGCATGATCTCTTTCACGTGATAGCCTTAGCGCCTTGCCGAGGTGTCCCAAAACGCTAGACAAAATACTAAGTTTTGGAAGTCTCTCTAGATTTTTCCAGGGCCACCTGAGACATCCTACATCTTGTTAAATATCTCATCTTCCACCTGTGTTTAGCAGTCGTTTCTCACGCCGCAAAATCCTGGCCGTGATCCGCCGAGTGAGCCAGAGTCAAGGCATCATCATGAATGAGAGCGCAGGTACGACCGCCCTACCCATCTCCTCTTCTTGCAAAGTCCTTCTGTAGTACTGATACTGATTCTCGAGCAGCATGGCCAGTAGCCGACGACCAGCTCGCACAGTTGACACTAGACGTGATTCAACAAGCCAGTCACTATCGACAGCTGAAGAAGGGGGCCAATGAAGGTATGTCCTCCAGAACATCTCCCTGCGAATGAATGCTAACCCCGCATCCCTGACAGCCACCAAGACACTCAACCGCGGAACTTCAGAGATCGTTGTCCTCGCAGCCGATACCTCCCCGCTCGCCATCCTCCTTCATCTACCGTTACTCGCTGAGGATAAGAACGTTCCGTATGTCTATGTACCGAGTAAGGCGGCTCTCGGTCGCGCTTGTGGGGTCAGCCGAGCTGTGATTGCGGCCAGTATCACCACGAATGAGAGTAGCGACCTCATGCCTCAGATCAGAGAATTAAGAAACAAGGTGGAGAGACTAATGATTTGAGGTGCTGGGGACTCGTCATTTCACCTGTTGAGCATCGTACATGGGACGAGCGCAATCTGATATGAGAGATGCTCGATTAGAAGCAGACATAAGGGAAGATGAGATCAGAAGCGCGTGAAATGGATAGCTCGAGAAGCACGTACCGTAGTGCATGCACGGCGTTCAAGTGCACCACAGTTAGAATCATATGACCCAGCCACTAGGTCTATTCAATAACATGCAAAGCAAGTACGGCTGGCATAATTTCACGAAGCCCTGTGTGCCAATTCTGCGAAGAAACCCATTGATCATCGGACCAAGCTTAGAGCAGCGGTCCTTCAGCAAATGTACGGTGTGAGTAGAGCCGGGGACAAAGTGTTAAAACTTTACCATTCTGATTGCTTGATTCGCGTCATTGTGTCAAGGTCGTTGTTGTTGTTCTCATCTCGTTTATTATAATGTCCATCCAGACAAGGATCTATGTAGACACTTGAGTTATAGACTCTACATCAACAAGTCAACTAACTGCTTCATCAAGATAGTGTCAAAGAATGCTCCGTAAACCCATTTAAATCCTGCCTCTAGCTACTTTTACTACTGTATGAGGAGAGCAGATGAAGGAAAGCAAGAAAACCATCCTATTATTGTTTTATCTCTTGTAAAATAGCGATTCGATTTGGCCCACAAAATAAGCAAGCTGTACCACTTTAGGCTAAAATCACGTGTATCAACTTGTAACTTGTAATTTTACGTAAAAATCAATAGAATCTGCAGCTATTTCGCACAGAATCCTGCACAGAATCCGCGACTAAAAGAAAGAAAGAGTATAGGTATATGCTCAAGTGTATAAAGAAGGTAAGTGTCTGGTCACTTCGGCCTCCGGGTCATCTACAGTCTACTTATTATTTGTATTTGACAAGGGCTGCGTCTAGCTCTTTTCTGATAGGATTTCCGGTTCGAGATGTTACAATGACAGGTGGGTTGGTGAGGAGGGAGGCTGATTGAGCGAAAGAGCGCGAGTGTAAGTCGCGGAAAAAAGAGGCGAAAGAGGAGACAGGAGTCCTATAAGTGAAGGTAGGAGTCTAATGCAAGCAGATGGGAGTTACAAAAGATTGTAAGCAGAGATCTTGACTGGAAGTGCTATAAGCTAACAGATGTATTTGCAGTATCGAAGGACCAGGTTATCACCATCAGTATAAGTGAGAGAGTCCAAGGTTTCGCTGCTGGTATGGTAAGCATGTCTGTTAGGTTAGAGCAGGGTAGGTTTTATATTGCAGGCGGCCCTTCCATTAAAAGATCCAATTTGAAGCCGCTCCTTCCTTTCCATACTTAGATAGGTGTAAGCGCGCACCTATGTATCTCATTCCATCTTCCGCTCTTTCATCTCTTCTTGCTTTCTTCTTCTTCTCAAGTCTCCAGCAACAACATCAACATCAACAACAACAACACCACCACCACCACCACCACAGCAGCAATGGCAGCAGCAGCAACAACAACACCACCACCACCACCACCTACTACTACTGCTACCACCACCACCACCACCACCACCACCACCACCATCAAAACTATTTCGTCTTGTAAGAGCATTCTATCCTGAAGGCCTCCTTGCCTTATTTTGATGCTAACCTGGTGGCCGCTATGCAGCAATTTTGTTACGACAACGTGGTGCCCTTCTTTATCTTTGTTAAAGTTATCTTATCAATACTTCATCTCTCAGGGGTACTCCCTTACATCTTAAGGGAGCGCCCCCGGGCATATGCTGCCATTGGGCGGACAGCGAGCCGGGGTTTCGCTAGTAGCGGCTAGTTCTTGTTACCGCATCATAGTGTCATGATCTGATTAAGATACATTAATTCAAATGGATTCAAAAATGTACTCTTAATCTGATATAGGCTTAGCTGCTTTGTACAAAAGACGATTTCGAGTAAAGATACTAGCGTTGAGCGAATAATACTTTAGGGCCCCCGTAGCATGATCTCTTTCACGTGAATAGTCTGTTAATAAATATTCTTTAGAAGTCGGCAAGCGATTAAATTAATATAGTAAATGTGAATCTTGTCCTCTCTGGGCATCAAGGTCCGATCGCTCGGAGCCTCCTTCTCCAGCTGCGAGATTGCGTGGTACACTAGTTGACTTTCTCGCAACACACAAAGCGCTGTATCATCGATACTGTGGAAGTTGTTCTTCGCCCCACAGCATTAACATAACTACACGAATATAAATACCCCTCCACACCATTCACTGCTCGAAGCCAGCTTCTGCTACTCAATTCAAATCCTTCAACAAGTCTACGTCCCAGAACTAACATCCACATCCTTTCTCTACACGCTGGTAGCCTTTGGACTGGTAAGCAAGACTGTCAGATAATTATTTCGGATTAATTGTTGACAACACAGTCTCCCTTAGGGCGATATCAGAGTTGAAATCAGATTATTAGTGTCAGACATTTCAATACAACAGCCTCAAATCCTTCGGCAAGTTATCCTTGATAAGTCTCTCAAACATCTCTAATGGTTCGGCCTCCGTCCTAGCAGACGGTATATCCTGTGATCAACCATGAAGATCTGGAGTATCTTGAGTCTTCTTCTGATATTCCCTCTCGCCCTGACACTGCCTATTCCCATCGAGGAAAGTTTGGAGGCGCGCAGACACTCTTTGCTTTCTGCAAGAGACTCTCCGGGCTGTGGTTGGATTAAGTATCGTCTAGGGTCCTGTTCTTAGACGAATAAGTACCTTCCAGCAAGTCATCCCTGACAACTCTCCCAAACATCTCGATCTGTTCTGACCTCCGTCCCAGCGAGCGCCATATTTCGTGACCAACCATGAAGATCTGGAGGATCTTGAGTCTTCTTCTGATATTCCTACTCGCCCTGACACTGCATATTCCCACCGAGGAAAATTTGAAGGCGAGCAGACACTCTTGCCTTCTGTGAGAGGCTGTGGACAGGTACATGGTTGAAAGGGCTTCATGTATTCAGCTGTTTTTAGACAGACAAGCGGTAGGACAGCTGATGAGATCTACATTTTCCGCTGTCGTGGAGGCTAAAAGGTAGTTATAGTTAATAATAGTCCATCGTACTTATCATTTTCCTATTTTCCATTGATCACCCAATTTATTTTCCAGTCACCAAATCACCTTGAATTCTTGAAAATTGTGCTCGCTACCACGCGGCGAGACATATGAATTCATTGTTCATCCTCGAAGAATGCCTCTATGACACCTGCCAGTAGATTTTCTGCACCTGGTTCTTGCTCGTAATGCAAACTCAGTGAGTGGTGGAATTGAGAATAATTGCCGTGCCGGTTGGACTTGGAAGCCATTTGCGAAAAGTTGGATAAAGTGCCCTCATGTAATTCACGTCAACTATACGTCAATAGTTTCTGGATCCGCATTCAAGAGGTATTAGATGCGCCTAGTAGCAATGCGCCTTGGATAAGATAATAGATGACCCCTCGGACTCGTCCAAGCTTCTGCGCTAAGCGTCGATGGTGAATGGCGACCGGGTACATCTCAATGATGATTGTCCATATTAGCGACGTGACGGTCCCTAGCAACACCTTTGGCAATAATGGTGATGTGGAAACAATTATGTAGTTAATAGCCTATAATTGTGCTGATCGAGTCGTCAATCGTCTGGAGAATGATCGCAGGACTGTCGACATTTCAATGGTGCGAGCGAGGTACTGCGCGTCGTGTATTTCTTCAGTTGCTTTTTACCACCGATCCGCAGAACTTGCTGGTTGCGTACTTGCGGAGGGGATACCAACGGGCCAGAGCTTGCAACAAGTATTTTCAATATGGGTCCTGGAGCACGTGTTTTGAACCTGTCCAGCAAACCGTCAAGATGGCGCTGGAATCGGGAAGCTGCTTCAAAAAACATCGCTTCAAGCTGAATGATGATGTAAATGAGTTTGAAATGTGACAGAATATCGGCCAGGATGTTGAAATAGTCCTCGTCGCCCTGCGCATCGAGGTATCGGCGAAGTTGGAACGAGAAAGTTAGGTCGGTGTGTGAGGCAGAGTCCAATTTTAGGGCTTGACAGATCAAGCTCTCCAAGATCTCAGTCGAATCATATGCCTGTGTTCTGCATTGCAAAGCCCACAGGGCGGCTATACCGGGCTTTCTGAGGTACTCAACAGCGAGGGTCAGGGAGCCGCTGAGGATGTTGCGGTCTTTGAAGGTGCTTCTGATACTGATTCGACTTGAATCTGCCGAGCTAATCCATTTGTTGAAGGAATGAGCTTTTTGAAATACCATAGCATACTGGTCCCACCTGACACGCCGCCTGTCTCGAAGCTGGATCGATTGTTGCAAGATCGTCATGTGGTTGAAGATAAGAGACGAAGATACAGTCCTTAAGGCCTGCGTCAGCTGGATTTCAGACATTGCGTTTCTCGGCTGTACTGCCCGTTCCAAAAGTGTTGCAATTCC